GGCGAACTGATGGGGTTGTTCAGTGGTTATAACCTTTTGCGTCGGTGTAAAAACGTATTTTTTTTCACTCCTCACTCAATATTTTGAACTTTATTGCAATTCAAAGCTAGAAATGCTTGTTTTTAGTATACAAATCTGGGCATGTTTTTGGATTAATTTAATTTTCAATACTTTGGAAAAAAATTGAGAAAAACATGGTGGTGATAACCTTTCGCGTCGGACTGTAGTAGGTACTTACTTACTATCCATGCACACACTGAATAATAATATTGCAAATGATATCATATAATATTTGTTTCTAAATTCAGCCAATCACACCAACGTATACGAAAGGTCGCGATCTTCAGCAGCATTTTGTTCCCGCTTGCCCAAAGAGCAACATGTCGGTGCTGGATAAGGGGACTCGATACAGCTTTGAATGCATTCCGCACAAGGCATCTCAGTGGGAAACGAGTGAGATGAAGTTGAAGCTCATGCAATGGTACCAACTCCCCCCTTGCACCAACACAGCTCACTATCATGGCAGGAACTTGGATCAACATGGCGGCGTGAAGCGGTTCCGTATGCGCGGCAAGTTCGACCCCGCCAACGACGCGGCGTTCCTTCGTGCGTTCTTTGAGAGCAAGTCCGTCCGAGCGAACCTCCCGGTGCGCACCACATCCACTCACACTTTCTTCCTAACCAGCTAAAACGCTAGTTTCCAGCGACCATGCCAGCATCTCTCGACGACCTGTCGTTCCGCAAACTCAAAACGAACGTTTTGAGTATGGCCTTCTTCGACAAGCTGGAAGCGTGCCCGGGTACATGCTTCCGTCACTCGAGTTCATTTCACATGTAATAACATGTAGACATCGTGTCCTGTGGCGGCATGCTTCGCCGGTGCATGGACGACGTGGTCGACGACTGCACCGTCAACGACAACCTCAGAGACATGCTCGTGAACCCTCATTCAGACCACGAGTCCTCCCTCTTCTCATCTTCGGAACAAGACGAAGCCATCTTCCAGATCTTCAAGCGTCTGGCCATCGGCGGCGCCATGGCCCAGCACGACGACACGCTGCAGCCGTACTTGGACTGTACCAAACAAGTGTACAAAGCGCTTCTGTCGGTGCACAAAGCAACCTCGAGCCATCACCACCACAGCGAAAACGCCGCCGATCCACTCGCCAAGACTCAAATTGGCGTCCGCACGTCGCTCTACATGGTGCACACTGGCGAACGCGACTCCAACCAGCAGGAAATTGCCGTCTCCAACGCGACCTGCCAACTCTTTCCCAAGCCCAACTCGCCGTTCAATGCATGCTTTGTAGCGATTGACCCGCACACGTTTTCCGTGTTGTGCTGGTATGTTCCGTTTGTGCCTTTTTGGTAGACATATATAAACATCTGAAGCGTGCATAATACTCGATAATATTACGAAGAAGCTACAGTATGGGTTTCAATAGTAGTTTATAGTTCGTCGTGGTCCACGCCGTGGGATTCGCCGTCCAACGTAAACTTGGTCGCGTGCTTCTTCAAGAATTCGGTGAAGCCGGCCACTTCACGGGCACCTTCGTACGCGATTGGGTGGGCCTTGTCGTTGGCCGGGAAAAAGAAGATGGTCGGGAACCCCTTCACGTCCACTTCGGGGTGGTCGATTTCGTTTTCAGTCGCGTCAATCTTGGCAATCACAATCGTGTCCACGGACGCAAAGTTTTCGGCCAATTCGTCGTACTTGGGCGCCAACGTCTTGCAATGGCCGCACCAAGGCGCGTAGAATTCAAGCAGCACGTCCTTCTTGTTGTCAATCACACGGGATTGGAATTCCTTGCCCGAGATCACTTTGACCGCTTCGTTGCTGTCGTCGTACGGTTCAGCAGACTTGAGGGTGGGCTTCAAGTCGCCAGTGAAGTAGTCGGTTTCGAACTTGATCAAAGCGGCGGCGGTCAACGTTTCCGTCAATTCAGCGGCCTTGGTGGGGAACGGGAACTTCTTCATGCCGGCGGCCATGTTGACCAAGATGATGGCAGGCAAGTCGTCTTCCTTCAAGCTGAAGTATTCGACGATACGGGTTTCCGAGAGAGGAACAATCACATGCAAGATCTTGCCCTTGTTGACGGCAGCGGCTTCGGTGACGGATTCGACGAGCGACTCGTAGTAGTCCTTGGTGGAGTCGGCGAACACCAACAAGTGGACTTGGATGTCACCGCCAAAGATTTGAGAAGCCTTGTCTTGGGAAAAGGTCATGACGAGGGGCTTGTTGTTGCCGGCAATGAATTCCGCGATGTCCTTCTTGTTGAACTCACCGTCAAACACAACCTTCTTATCGTCGAACTTCTTGAACAAGACAACCGAGCCGGCGGCCTTGGCGTCTTCGTGCAACGAGGCGTCGGTCGTGGCAACGATAACAGCGATTTCTTCGCCGTCGGCGACCTTTTCCAAGATGTCCTTTTGCGTACCGGCCACATCGTCGATGTGGGCCAACACAACCACGTCGTTGGCGTCAGTCAACTTCTTCAATTCTTCAGCGGTTTCAATGATCTTCACAGAAGGGCCAGAGTTCTTGATGACCCACTTCTCAATTTCGTCGGCGGTACGACCACCAGTGTACGCCTTGACGGCAGTCGGGTCTGTATCCCCCTTGAAGAACTTCAACGTGGGGAAGCCAGACACGCCGTACTTTTCGCCGGCTTTGGCATGCGCGGTGGCATCCAACTTGGCAATGCGGTAGGGAGGGGTGTTTTCCAACAACGCAGTGGCCGCCTTCGCGTATTCAGGGGCAAGCGACTTGCAGTGGCCGCACCACGGGGCGTAGAATTCCACCAATAAGTACTCGTTGGAGGTCACTGCTTCTTCGAAGTTTTCGTCGGTCAAGACGAGGACGTTTTCTTCTTCCTCGATGGTGGCGCCAGAGACGGCGGCAAGGCCGAGCAAAAGCAAGGCGGACAGCGACGTGAAAAATCGCATCTTCAGGAATCCAGCAAAAGCGAAAGTGACCGTGATCTTGGCATGGATCCTGGAAACGCATGAAATCCGTGTCGAGGTTCACCACATTAAAATACATGACCAGGTCAAATCCGCATCTTGATATTTGTATGACATCGTTTGAGATGCATCCGATCTTCAAACATTACATTAAAATATTCTGTTGGAGGCCCCATGCATACAAATATCAAGTCAAACGTGACACGTGGACCACCTCAGTGCAAATATCTGTGGCCACGTGGACGATTCCATATCCACATAGTGGATACAAATGTCAAGTCAAAATCCTTCCCCCACCCCTTCTTGAAGTATCTCATCCTTGCGATTTGATTGGTTATAATTTGACTGTCTAGCATTTGATTGGCCAGTCTTTGAATCGGACAATTTGGCGGGCAAAGCCAGTTGAAGCAAAAGACAACAGCAGAGTTGTTCCATCGATCGATGCTGCGTCAACTTGCCGCCATATGAACCCCAGCGTTCATGGATAACTTCGACGACTACCGCATGTACATGAAGGATGGGAAGAAAATCAGAGAGACAAGTGCATGCCGCTAGCGGTCGAATTCTGACGATCTGGTGAAAAATGAGGGTGGAACATGCGTTGCGTACATACTTGTCAAAGCGTCCGAATGCCGAGACTGCGAGCAGGATTGCAAGCTATCTTGTGCGACCAAGGCCATGAAAGAATCAAGGAATGGTATTATACCATGCAAGTGCGTATAGTAAGAGGATGATCGTGTGTGTCATAAGCTTATTGTCCATGAAGTTCACGCATGCTTGTAGCAATCGAATCGAGTCAACACGGTGAGCTCAAATGTGTGCACGACTCCTCTGACTCCTCTATGCCCCATACCATAGCCACAGGGCACAATATTTGTAATGCTGCCAACACCTAGAGCGTGCTTGATGCAGTTGGTTATACATCCCTACTCTTGACATACCGATATCGTTGTTTTGCAGAAGTCCTAGCAATGGCGCGCTCACTGCGCAATCCCTTTCGTTCTCTCAAATAGCACAAGCTAGTTCAAATGTCACCTGAATGTCGCATTGCCGCCTTGCGATAAGGACCACACTCTAACAATCACACGCATAACAGTTCGCATCGCACCAACCATCACACGCCTTCCGTCACAAGTCCGCGGCGGTCTGTCCTTTCTGGCGTCGGCGCGTTTGTGCCGCTGGATTGAACGAAAATGGATTTGGGGCTCGCATCGACTGTGCCTGTGTCCGTTGTTCGATATCGTACATACATTCCATACAAATAAGGCATATAGCGTACAGTACATAATGTATAATGTACGCCCTGTACGTGCCCTGCACCCGATTTCTTACGCTCGTCCTATAACCGATACCGCACCGACACATCACATCGGCGGCGCTGCGTGGACATTGTGATGAGCAATCATGACCTGCACGACAAGATGCAGAAGATGAGGATGCACCGCGTTCCAAGTGACTATGCCACACCCAAAGCGTCAACGTCCATGTACCCACCGACGTCGGCATCGAGTAGGACGAGCAACGGTAGCACCCACGGGCAAGTTGGAGGCGGTGGCCTGTATCACTCGGGCATCCCAGTCGGGGGGCAACGTGGTAGCAACACAAACTTGTATGCGCAAGGAATCACGAGTCCACGTTGCGTTGGTGGTGGGTACCTTTCCCAACGTGGCAGCAGTCAAGACCTGTACCAAGCAGGTGGGTCGTCTGCCGGGACACCGTCATCATCCAGTGGTGGTGGTCGCGACTTGATTGCTGCCGCGGCGGCGGCATCGCAAAAGAACCGACAAATCCGCGGTCGACCCGGCTCAGGGTCTCCCCTCGCGACGCATGTTGCGTTCAACGACCATCCAGGGTACTACAAGGCAGCGTCTGACTCGACCATGATGCGGAAGAACTCGAGCTGGAGCAGCATGGATTCCTTGGACCTTTCGAGAACGATTCAGTATGATGACCCGGCGTCGACGATTCGCCTTCCGCGACCGACTCCTTCCCAACCGGCACCACCTCTCATGTCGACATTCCAATCTCCGTTTCTCGAACAGTTGAACTTTGACGGGTTAGACGAAGACGATAGCAGCTCCATCGGGTACATGGAAGACTACGAGCACTCGGCGACGTCGATCAATGGCGGCGGGATCACCGACTGTCCAGGCGGCTTTGACGACGATGACGAGGAAGACGACGAGGATACTCGTAGCGACACGTCGTCCCTTGGCGCCCATGCGGACACGGCGCCATCGGTGCCGTATCTACTCCACGGTCATCGGTCCGTGCCCACTGCTTTCCCAGACGACGGACGTCGGGTGACGTCTCCTTCAAGCATCGGGCGGCAGCATCACACTGGACAGTACATGGTCTCATCGTCGCCGCCGAACTACCACGTCCCCCACCACCCACGGCACCACTCGTCGTCGGTGCCCCCTCGGTCGATGCTTCCGCCCCCTGCGCACCACAACATCATCCAGCATCAACAACCCCCTCCTCCGCCCCTTCCGTCGTCGTCCCCGCCCGTCCCTGCGTCCTCCTCCATGTCCTCGACAACTACCCCTGGACGAAAACCTCACATCCATGCACATGCCGACAGCTCAAAGTACGTGTACTCGTCGTCCGGCACGCGGCAAGAAGGCGACATATCCATCTGGATTGGTACGTGGAACCTCGGCGCCGCGGATCCGTTCAGCGACTCGCGGGGGCTCATGGACGACGCCGACACGTCGCGGATGGTACGCCATCTCGTACCCGTGGGGTACGACCTGTACGTGTTGGGGGTCCAGGAAGGCGTCAACGAAAACGTGTACTTTGCCATTCAAGCCTACTTGAACCGGAACCCGCAGCTGCTGCGGTACCAGCGCAAGGAGCTCCGCAACGACAAGGTGGTGCTACCCAATAAACAAGCCCCGACGGACGCCGTGTTTGACGCGGTGCGCGGCCGCGGCGACGGCGCGTTCATGGGCACCAAGTTTACGGGCATGGCCGTATTCTGTGGTGACCACGTGGCCGCCGACGTCCAAGTACTACGCGCGGGGCTCCACAAGTTTAACATTGCATCCGGCTCCAAGGGCGGCGTCGCGGTTGCCCTCAAGATCAAACACTCGACGCTTTGCTTGATCAACTGCCACCTCGATGCCCGCAACGACACGTACCGCCGCGACCAGATCCGCCTACTCAACACCAACCTCGGCAAGGTCATGGGCCATCCGTACTTTGACCTGACGCAGCAGTTCCACCACGTTGTGTGGATGGGGGATTTGAACTACCGTATCGTCAAGATGGACGCAACCGAAGTGTGCCGACTCTTGACGGAAGACCGCATCGAAGAACTGCATGACCGCGGCGATGGCCTCCTCAACGACCGCAAGCAAGGCATCTTTGAAGGGTTCAAAGAGCCCGACAAGTTTCACAACTTTTACCCGACCTACAAAAAGTTTCCACTCCGAGGACATGTCGACATGGACGACCCGCGGTGGCCGGAGCGGGTCTACCGCGTCCTGTACAAGGAGCCATTTTACAAAGGTAACGTGGATGGAACCATTCTCTATCGCTGCATATGATATGGTCATATGTTGTATGTGTGCTCGATGAAATGTATATATATATATATATATATATCGTTTGTTGGAATGTAGTATTTTAGGAGTTTGATATATATATATATCATGGTTTCTCACATGTTGTCTTGTTTTATTCTATGTTTATTATAGTAGTTGTACAATGTTATTTTGGTTTGTTCTCGTGGAATGTATATCGTCTCTACGATATAGTGTGTTTTTTGTCAGTGATTTTTGGTGGGATTGATATGATTCTTTGTTGTGATTTCATGATATTGTATTTTTGTGTTTAACGTACGTTTGTTATAGTAGTTCTTTTCGGGTGTAATATGGCGTGTTAGAATAGAGTGTTTGCTTTTGTTTGGACTTGTCAAGATTTGAATTCGTATGGCGCGATTACTACCAAGAAGATTATTGGTGGGGAATGCCGTGTTGTGTGACGATAAGATGGGCATGAATGCTATTTTGTGTGTTGATTTAGTCACGATGAAACATGTGAAAAGTGTGGTGGTGGAGAGTGTATAACTACCGTATCTGTCGTTGATCTGAAATACAAAACGCGAATATAATTCTATAATTCAATACAATCTTGAATCAATGATACATATATATGGTCACGAATTCTCATTATTATTATTTTCAACTCTCTTTTTCTCGGTTATTTGAAAATCTTTAACGTGTGTTGTGGTTGACTTGTATGTAGGCGGGCAAGTCAAAAAGCGGGTACCGGGATGGTGCGATCGCATTTTGGTCTACTCGACGCCCATGCGCAACTCGGACTTGGTCGCGGAGAAGGTGCCGTGTCCGTTCATCCAAGGGCGGTGGGTGGATAACTACCAAAGCATCAACGACGGCGTCGGCATGGACGTGTCAGATCACAGCCCCGTGACATGCACGATGCTGCTCAAGTTTGTCCGCCCGGCCATGACCAACATCCCAGGGGGGCTGGCTCCAGGTACATATGTGACAGAGAAAAGCAAGGAGGATGACATGTGACGTGGTTGCGTAGATGGGCTGGGCGCGTACACAGACTTGCGACCGAGTGTGCGGCTGCAGGGCCCGTCGTACGGTGGCGGCCCCCACGGCCCCGTGACCACGGTGCTCACGCTGTTCAACATGGTATGGGTATATTTTTTCCCAGAAACGCCTGTGACGTTTGTGTGTGCTGATGATTCGTGAAATCTGTCGACCGGGTCGTTCTTCGTTGTACTGCATGAAGGAATGTGTTGTATATATTGTGCTTTCGAGTGACATTTCATTATGTTGTGGTTTCTCGTTGGAATTTAAATCGATTTGATTGGCTACCTCAGATGAGCTCAAAATTATTAACCAATCAAAACCCATTTCTCAATGAAATTCAACCAATCAGATCGATTGTGGATCGGTTTGGTCGGCGCGATTCGATTGCAACCCCTCCTCCCCAAATTTGTATATCAAATCGACAATAAACAGTATAGTTTTCCTGTGGTGATAGGTATATCACACCAATTAAAGGTCACACATACACTAATTCGATGTTGATGGTTTTCTGCAATCTGATTGGTTCAATCCGTTCTCTGTCGATGTTTCTATTTGTTTGGTCGTGTCGTCGATATGTATGTACCCTTGTCAATGTCGCTTCTATTTATTAATACTCGAGACTTCAACCCAACAATATATCATGTTGTCGAAAAGTGATATATTGTCTCTCTTTTACCTTAAAATTGGACTTTTATGCTGATTCGCCAAATCTATCGGTCGATTCTTTGTACTGACTTTTGTAAATACCCACCGTCCAGTGTCACACTAATTTCATTCACACACTAATATGATGTTGCATTGGTCGAAGAGTGGATTTGATTGGCTACTTGACTCGTGTTGTGGTTTTTGATTGGTTGATCGTATGTCGTCAGCCGATTTGGTGCTGCTCATTCGATTGAGCACCCCACTTTCGAATATATCGACTTGACAATATATATATATATATTTGACATGTATATATCCTTGGATAGGTTGTGACGTGGGGCAACCACTCGCACGTGCCGAAAAAGACTCGTGTGGTCGCGCCGCTGCTGGGCGAAGACGATCTGCTGACTCGCCAAACAGAGGCCACCGGCGAGCGCAATATCACCATCACGAATGTGGCCACGCTCAGCTTGAACGTGAAATTGCACCACGAGCGAAGTCTGCAGGACCTGCACATGCTCGTATGGGTACGCCACGAGAGCGTGGTCGGCCACTGCGTCGTGTCGCTAAAACGAGTGGCCGACCTGCACACCGACGGTGTCGCAGACGAAGCACGGTACAAAGCCGGCTTGTACTTCAACTCGGTGCCCGTGACCATGGACGGTGGCGTGCCCGTGAAGCTCATCTTTTCTGTCAAGACCAACAGCCTCCAAGGCAGGTCGCGGCGGCACTAGACCCTACCGACCGCTACCACCTTTTGTCGTAAACTGTCACACATATACTACCCCTGTACACGCCTCGTTCTTGTATAGAATATGGGTGTGCTCGTTGTCGTCATCACGTTGAGCAAAACCACCAGTGAAATTGGAAGGAATGCTCCAATAGTGTTTGTGTGGTTGGTTACATCCAGGTCCGAATGAGCAACTAACTGTATGTACATTGCTGCTCCAAGCAGCAGCATTTCTAGTACACATTGATGCACGATGTATATATGAATAGTCTTGGATTGAGATCAATGTAGTTGCGCTCACGTGACCAGACTCTTCGACGTGTCGTCGTCAGGAGTGGGGACTACGTTGAATGGCACGACGACTGTCGTCGCGACCAGCAATTGGTTTGGTTGCATCAACGGGTGGTCCTGATAGGTCATTCTTCTGCTTCGTCGCACAGTCACCTTCGGTCGCTCGATATCGAAGTCCGATCGCGGCACATACAGCCGCAAGCATGAACAGGAGCACCGGGACAGGGCACATTTGTGGTGAGGTCGGCAAGATGACAAGTGACTTGCGTGCATTTAGCTTCACGATGCCATAATGTGACAATACTATATCGAATCATGTACACTGACTCATGTTCTATAATAAATAGAACTCGCATCATAAATCTAACATAGTCAAAACTAAATAATTTGGACGTATATAATTTAAAAACAGTTGCTTACAATACAATATGATGTACTTCACATGATTAACCCTGATTGTTAATTGCATTTGATTGGATGCTGGCGTACTTTTTCAACCAATGGCATTGCTTCAACCAAACTGTGGAAAGCAAGCACACTGCCGCGGACGCTAAATGTCTCCTTAGGCACAATTACACTCACGCTTCATCCTTCAATATGCACAGATCCCCATGATGCTCTCAATGGTGGCCTTCGAAGGTGGTCGCTGCAAAGCACTTGCTCAACGTGCGAAGTAACTGAGAGTTGGACTTCATGGACGCTCGAATCGAACTTATTTGGCAACTTCTGGACTTATCCCGTCGCACCTGTGGGGGTCAATTCCGCCACCTCATATCCACTCCAGCCAGTCCAGTCGACCGACCACTATGTTCGCCCGCATCAGCTCCACGGCGGTCCGCCGCACTGCCGCCACGCAAACCCGAGGCTTCCGCAAGGGTACATGCATCATCTTCTACTTTGTGTCATGACATACTCATGACTTTGATTGTATAGGTAACCCCACCAAGTTCACGGAGAACAAGGCAGACACCGGCTTCAACGCTGTGCTCAACGGTACTACACACCTACGCACATTCATACCATATATGGATACATGGATTGATGGTGATAATGCGTAGCCGACAACTCCAAGCACACTAGCAAGGTGATGCACTACACGAGCTACGGTCTGTTGGCGTTGGTCCCTGCTGCCGTGGTGCTCAGCCCATCCGCGTTGAACGTGCCGGTCGACTACTTGCTTGCCGTGCTTGTCCCCGTGCACAGCCACATTGGGATCAACAATGTCGTGTCCGACTATGTGCCCAAGAACTTCAAAACGTTGGCCCGTGCTGGCGTCCTTGGCGCGTCCATCGTCACCTTCCTCGGCCTCATTACCCTCAACGTCACAGGCGCTGGCGTCACCGAGACTGTTAAGTCCCTGTGGCGTGAACCTCCTTCCAAGGAAGTCTCGCATTAATCGTGACACTGAGCATCCCCGTGCGACCAGAATTGACACAATCAAATTGTTGAAATTTTCACGAAATTATTACCAAAGATTTGCTAATTTCGACGGATGTTTCAACCGGAAGTTTCATCGATGCCAGTTTCAGTAACGCACTGGTCATGTGAAAGCAAAGGCCAGCGCCTCGTTGCTTCTGTTTACTGTTAGCTACAGAGACATTATGGATCATGAGCTGTATCATGCATTGCTTTGTTGTCATGTGGGTGGCTCTACCCACGAATATGCCAGAGCGACATGTGGGCGTAACATTATATGGACTTTTGCGGTGGATGTTCACATTACACTGCACTGGTGGTGGTGGGTGTACCAGTATCGGCCGAAAGCGTTGGTTTCGGCAGCAACACCTTGGCTTGACCGGAAATGGCGACGTCGCCGTGGCGGTCCAGACATCGCGTGGCGCACACTACCAGCCGCATGCGCGCTTTCACTTGCAGCACTTCAATCTCGGCATGGACAAGGTCCCCTACATGGATGGGTTTGTGGTATCGCACATCTTGCGCGACGTAGATGGCGCCAGGAAATGTCGCGCCGAAGATCGTGGGGAAGAGACTGGTGCATAGGATCCCATGAACGACAGGTTTTCCAAATGTCGTTGTGGCGGCAAACGCTGCGTCCACATGCAATGGGTTCGAGTCGCCCGACAAGGCTGCAAACGTCTCGACGTCGGCAGCATGAAAGACATGGTCGATGGACGCCGTCACGCCCTCCTCAGGAAGGACGCCCAGAGGAACCTACATATGAACATGCGTCGTGCTTGTGGTGACGAGTGTAGGGACGTATTACCTTGGTCAAGTCGCCGACGACGCGGATTGCATGACGTAGTGTTCGCGTCCTGTGCATGCTGTTTGGAATAAATCAAAAAAGTAGTGACGGCACCTGATTGGTGGAACGAAAAGTAGAAAAGGCGTTTGATTGGATAGAAAAAGACGTCCAACCTTTCAATTGGACATATGCCAACCAATCAAACTATTCATTTCAATATTATACCATTCACAAATTACACTGTTCTAATGCGTGGAGCTACAGATCGTCGACTGCGACTCCAACTTGCATGTTGCCGCCGCGACTGTCTACATGCAGTCGCGTGAGCACTGCTTCGACCACGTGTCTTTGCTCCACGGGTGTCAACTCCGCCTATGCAAAGTGAACAGAACATGAGGCACATGTGGCGACCTATCCACCCAGCCCACAACGTACCAGCGGCTTGTTGAATCCTTGCAGAAGCTTTGGGTTCACCTCGATAGCTTGCATGTACTCCGTGTCAGTGTTGAACACATCCAGAACCAAACTGTTTCTTGTGGGGATGTAGCCCAAGGCTAACGACAGCGACTGGCCATCGATTTGCTTGACACCTTGGTACCACAAGTGCTGCTGGCGGTTGGTGTCGTTCCCTGGTTTCAAATGCACAGCAGCAGCGCTGGACTGGTGCACACTACTCGATTGAATGTGCTTGGAGGGGGTGACCGCCATCGACACGTACGGCTGGCTAATCTTACGCGTTGAGCTATCGCCTGCGTTTGCATTCGGCGGGCGCAGCACCTGCACCGTCTGCCCTCGTTTCATGGGCGGGTTCTGACCAGTTTCGAGGGCCAGGTCGCTCACAAAGCGCTCCTTCAGCGTTCGGCCGTTCGACAACACGGTCGTCGTGGGGTCGTCTTCCTGCCATTTAGGTTTTGGCCCAGGTTTCACCATGGTCAACTTCTGTTGGTCGTCCAAGGGCTTCATCGTGGGTGATCTCGGGGGCTGCGACAGTGTTGGCGACGAAGATGCCATCATGGCCTTCCACAGTTGCTGTTGCTGCGACAGCTTGGCATGCATATCCGCGGCGACGGCCTTGTGTTGATGCAGCAAGTCCGTGAAAAACGTCTCTTTTAGCTGCAGCTCGAGCCCCACTTGATCGCGGTCTGTCACCGCATCCATGAGCCGCATCTTGAGCATGCTCGCGTCCTTGTCTTGGCTCGAGTTGTCGCATGGCGCGACACCTCGTCGCATAAACGCCAATACCTCCATCGCCCTCTCCCGCTGCGTCGCCGCCAACATGGTCATGGTCGAGTTGGCATGAGCCAGAAACTGCTGGAACTGCATGCGCGCATGTTCGTTGGTCTTGTTGCAGCTCTCGACGCACCACGTGGCGAGATCCATGTCTGGCTGCCACTCCACAGCGTGCCACGTCACCTGCACAACGTCAATGTGAAGCAAGCGATCGAAGTACAGGATTATTGTCAAAGGACTGGCGTTTTTGCTGGCAATCCCATTGAAGAAAGCGTAGTCGTATCGAGTGAATTCACACAGATACGCCATGTGCGAAATGAAGCTTGTTTTCCACGACATTACACATTGAAATTGCATGGGTCTGTACGAAAACTGAATCGCAATACCGAGAAATAGCGCTCAAAAGAGGCAATTTTGGTTGCTGTCTGTCGCATGTAGGAATCTGAGTGTCGTTGTCCCCAAAGTCAAGGCATTCAGTCGCATTCAAACTAGTCTCCATGACGATCGTCCTTCCATCCATCCACATGACACACTCAACAGCACAATATACATGTATAAGCTGACTCGATGCCACTGAAACAAAATGAAATGGAGGGTACAAGGGGGAAATGTTAGGGGAAGTAGGGGGATGGATCTATAAGTTGTCTATGGCTATCATACCTCGAACGGCAGGAACGGCGCCATGTCCTTTTGCAATGCATCAAACGAGCCCATCACGTACTCCTTCATGCGCTTGAGTTCCTTGATGCAGCCGAGAATCGCATGGCTCAGCTCCGTGGGCATAGTCGCACCCGCCTTGTTGGCCGACGACGTCGAGAGCAACTGTGTCACGGACCGAATGGCGCCGTACACCAACTCCATGAGCATGCGGTCGCGGTCAACATAACGCGCAAAGAAGGCCGCTTTCTCGCCGCCGTCTCTTCGGCTATACGTCTCAGTGGCCTGCACCTACAGCCCCCCCACGACGATACACATCAGGTACGTATACAGCGTCATCCACCATGAAATACTCCCTCGTAAATGCCATGCAATGTATGTATGTTACCTCGAGGGCCCGTCGAATGGCGTCCATGGTCGCGTCGTAGTCAGCTTGTTCCTTCAACTTGATCGCTCGAACATTGGTGAGATCTCGCTGCAACGACTCCAATTGACATGCGGTCGAGCGCTGCAAGTCGTCGAATTGCCGCGCGCTGGCAGTCTTGACGTCTTCCACCTCCAAAGCGCGCGCCCGCTCGGCCGCCGCCAAGGCCAGAGCCCCACTGCGTTCCGCGTCTTGTCGTTTCTGTTCACGACCCGCAACAACAACAAAGTCAGTGGCCATATCGTTCACATAACAACTTGATAGCAGACACTGGCTATAACGACTCTAACCAACAAAACTCGATATCTTGACATGGATAGTTTTCTGAAACCGACTCTTCAGGGCACTAAACGGAGGTGCTCACCGTGTCGAGGTCTCGCCGGAGGGCGTCCATTGCGACCGCGGCTTCCCGACGGAGGGTGTCTACGGCCGTAGCGTGCGCGGCATTGTCCTGTTCGTGCACTTGTTTACGCCGGTGGAACGCCGTTTCAAAGTCCTTTCCGTCCTGGAGCTTGAGGTCCAACGACTCGAAAAACGACGGCGCATTACCCGACGAAAACACGACGAGGCCATACTTTTTGCCCACCGCTGCCGCGCGCATCTACCAGTCAACCAAACATCATCACACACGATGACGTGATCGAGATAATGACTCCCGAACACGCACCTCGAGGTCCTGCAGCGCTTGCCGCGCCACGTCCAAACTGCCCATGAGCGCGTTGTTGTTGGCTTCGATGGCCATCTTGGCGCGCACCAAGTCGCGGTGCTTCACCGCGAGCTCCAAGTACGTTTGTACGACCGCCACGACGTCTTCCGAAGTGCAGAGCCCCCCGTCTTGACCGAGGAGGACGGACACGCGGGACCGCAACGCGTGGTAGTCGTTCACCCACGCCAAGATGTCCTTGGCGGAGCTTCGCTTGGACAACACGGGCACCAAGGCCCCCGACTCGGAGGAGGATGTCGGCACCATCGGGAGAAGAGGCAGGCCCACCCCTTGCCACACTCGCGCACACTACGTCGTCATGGCATCAATACCGTCAAAAAAATCTCTGAGGTGGAATCAGAGGTGAAGAATCATATGTTTCCGTTGAAACGGAAGATGGTATCACATATAGCCTCAGACATATGGATGATCCGACGTGCAAAATCAGATGTAGCAGCTCAAATGGGATCATACAATGGAATCAGATTCACGTATACCCAGCAAGGCGGAATCAGATATGTGACACGTACATCGGCCCGGAGGGTTTGGTACGTGTCGAGAACGTCGGTAATATCGCGAGGGGTCGCGCGGGATGCCTTTAACTCGAGCTGGTTGGCCGCGTGTTTGCACAAGCCGGCGTATTCGACCAAGGTCGCGATCACGTCACGAGGGGATAACGTCACCACTGGACTCAGCTGCAACACGGCGGCGGCGTCTTCGCGGAATGTGTTGTACTCTTGCAACGTGGCAACAATTCGGGACGGGGCGATGGGAGTGTCGTCGACGACGCCCCACACGCCAGCCACCGCCCGAAGCATCGAAACATGCGCGTCCACGACGTTGCCAATCGTCGCCGCGGTCGGCCGCGCATCAGAATCAGAATCAGATATCTTGTGTTGGCCCATAGGAGATAGGGTCTGCGCCACGTGATCCCGCAAGCTGCTCCATTCTTGCACGTGTTGAAGGATCGTGTGGTTGTCGACAGTCTCTTTGGGTACGTGGATGACGCCGGCGACACGGGTGCGAAGCTGGTCGTACGCATCGACGTGACGCAGTAGCGTCACCGTGTCCACGTCGCCTGATTCTGCCGCTAAAATCGCTTTGCCCTGGCTCAAGCACGCGTGGTACGTGTCCAGATGCTCGAAAATCACACTCGAGTTCACCTAAGACCGTTATGAGAAACAACAAATATTCATTTTCGTGGCCGAATGGGTGGGTTCACAGGATGACCGAATGGTTGGAGCATGGGGTATATACATACTCGTACATATATATATATTATATATATATATAAACACTGTGGCACACTTACCTCTTGAAGCTGGAACCGGTGGCCCGTCTTGTCTTTGAGCCCCATATACTCATTGATGCAAGCGAGAATGTCGGCTTCGCAACAAGTACCGTTGTCGTTGATTCGTAACGCTATGCACAACCACCGGACCGAGCAATTACTACCACGAACATACGAACGGTTCAATACCTTTTGCCACATTCAAGCGGCACGACTGCCATGCTTGCAATGCGTCCATAATGTCTTTTGCGGTAGCCAGCAACTGTCCAGCGTCTCCTCCGTTGTCGTTGTTGGAGGGATTGGTGGACCTAGAACCATTCCGTCATCGTGACACATACCACCACGATAACGTCATGTTACTCAACCGTACATTTCAGTCGAGGTCAACGTGGGGGCTGCGTCACGACGAAGCGACTGGTACGCTGAAATGTACTCTAACGCTGCATCCACACTCGGGGCTAGTTCCGGCACGAGGCGGGGCAGAGTGTGCAGCAGTCGAGTGTGTTCTTTCGTGTAAAATATCACTTGGCGAATGTCACGATGACACGTGTCGTTGACGGGGACGTTTGCCCACAACTCGTCGTGCTCGTCGACTACCTTGCGCAGCACGTCCACGCCGAGGCGTTGTGGCCCCAGCTAGTCAACACACACATCCCATCGTGTCGGTCGTGAGGGATAGGGTTGGCGACTGCAAAAGGAAAAAAACACCCCTACCCCGTGTACACAGTAGGACGGTCGTCGTACCTGTACAAACGTCTGGCACTCGACGGCCAGCGCCAAGAGCATGGCCAAGAGCGCGTCCAAGTCGTCGAGGGTGGTCATGCCGGCCACATGCTCTGCCACATTCGGATGAAATTGATCTTGAATCAACGACCGCAACCCCATTTTAATTCGCGTGAGGAGAAAGTCCCCCGTGTAACACTGGGCCACGTGCGCTTCGAGCGTGGCAATGTCTACGACGATTACGTCAGTCGTTGAGGCAAGTCGTGATGATGACGGCGTACTTTGCATCAGCGACGCGACCGTCGATTCTGCGGCCATGGCGGCCTCGTGATGGCTCATGTCCGCGGCCGCTAACGCCTTGACCACTGCCGCATGGTCATTCACGCTGTCTCCAAGCTGCGTTTGCAGGGATGCCACCTCTACGCCAATCGTCGTCGGGTTAGGTATCCCCATTCTGTTAAGCACACTCGTTCTCTTCCGTTCAATGGTTGAACCGTCGACCCAACTAACCCATCTCCTTTCGAGGTGTTGATGGTGACGCATGTACCTGATTCCAACTCTGCGATACGGAGACTGGTCACGCGTTCAAGGTCGCTCGTCTTGATCTCCCATCCGTCAATGGCCACCTTGGCCACCGCTTGATCCTGCTCCGCTTGCTGCACGAGCGCTTGGAGCTGGCTGTCGAATTGTGCGGATTGCGCGAGCACCGCCGCCTCCCATGCGTCGTTGCGCTCGGCCATGTGCTTTTCAAACGCGTTCACTTGCGCCTCCATGTCGAGGTTGTACCGACGGCACTTGTCGGCCATTTGCGTGTCGAACGTGTCTTCTTGCCGGGCCAACTTGGCTTCCAGCGTCTGTTTCTGAGTCAAGAGGTCCGACTCCAGAATTTCTTTTTGCCTGGCCAGCGCCCCTTCTAATTCCGTGCGTTGGCTCGACAGGTCATGCTCAAATTTCGCCCTCATCGCCATCGTGTCCTCAGTGTACTTTGCTTCCCACTCACGCACTTGCCCCGAGAGGTCGGCGTCCAGGGCCCCCAGCTGCGCCTCAAACGTCCCCCGTTGCTCGGCTATTTCGTTCTCAAACTCCGATTTTTGGCGCACGACCTCGCCTTCCAACGCCGCGCGCGTCGACGCGACTTGCCGCTCCAACACATCGACCTGTTGCTTCATGGATGTTTCCAGGTCGGTGCGCTGCCGTAAGATTTCAGCTTCGTATTCCATCCGTTGACTCATGATTTGACCCTCCAACGCGGTCTTCTGGTCGGCTATTTGCGTCTCGAATCGACGGCGTTGGTTTGCCATCTCGAGCTCAAATACTTGGGTTTGGTGCGCGATTTGACCTTCCAGACGTTCCTTTTGACGAACCAACTCGCTTTCCAGAGTACTTTGCACGGCCACAAGTCGCCCCTCCAGCGTCGTCTTGACTTCGACGTTTTCGCTTTCGAGGGTTTCTTTAGTCCTGCGCAATGTAGACTCATAAAACGCTTTCTGGGTCGCCAAGTCCGTCTCCAACGTCTCCTTCGTCGTCCGCAACTCAGTCCCCAACCGCAGCGTTATGTCTGCGAGCTCCCCCTCGAGTCTGGCTTTGGTCGTGGCGAGTGTGGACTCTAGCTCGGCGCGTTGGGTGGCCACGTCCAGCTCGTACCGTTCCTTTCGCTGCCGGATCGTAGCTTCGTACCGCTCTCGTTGCTGCGAAATCACTACCTCGTAGCCCGCGCGTTGCTTAGCCAGTTCGCCTTCCAAGTCGGTTTTGGTTGCGAGGAGCTTCTCGTCAAACGCCGCGCAAGCTGCGGCGTCGCGGGCAGTCGCGTGTGCCACTTGGTCTCGCAGCTGCCCCTCCAATGTATCGCGCTGGTGCTCGATCAAACACTCGAGGCGGATGCGCTGCTCGACAAGCTGCTCTTCAAACGCTAGCTTGCTTGCCTTGAGCTGCACCGTCAACGTTTCCTTTTGGTACTGCAACTTGGCTTCGAGCTCCAACCGCTGGCGCTGCGCGTCCTCCGCCGCCGCCTCCACCTGGACGGTATGCGTTGCTTGCAAAGTTGCTAGCTCCACTTGGAATTGTTTGGCGGCCGCGGCCTGTTGTGCCACTTGCGCCGCCATTGCGTTGGCATGGTCCTCTTGCAACGAGGTCACGGAAGCGATGTGGCTAGCGTGAAGGCGCGTCACACTCTCATCATGCTCCACGCGCAAGTTCGCCACGAAGGCGTCATGTTGTTGCACGAGTTTGTCCTGGGCGACTTCCGCCGCCGCGACTGCATACGCTACCCCCCGGACTTCTTCGGCCAACATGCCCAGCTGGTCTCGACTCGTTCTAGTCGCTTGGGCCGCCACGGCTCGAACATGTGCGAGGTCGTCGCGCAGTTGGGCCCGCTCCAATGTCAATTTCGTGCCATTTTCTTCCAATTGGGCGATCGTGGCGGCCGATGTTGTTCGCTCCTATAACCACGGGAGTATCAGATATGTTTCAGATTCTCCAACTTGTAACAATTTGAGAAGGTCACCGGAACCACGAAGCCTATCAGATTCTCCCCATTTAAGACAATCTCATAATCTCATAATGCCACCACAGACAATTTCAATGTCGAAATCGAATCAGAGTATCCCAACGTATACCCATCGAACAATCAGCGCAGGACACAAGCGACAGTTGTCCATGAACCTGTTGCAAGAGACTTTGAACCTTGGACATGTCCAGCTCGGACGTTTCTTGCAGGGTAGTCAATTGAGCTAGCGCCGTCGCGCGTTCCTACACAAGTACAAACTCGTGTCACAACATATGACCTTCATTGGGGGGTATTTTACTACCTGTTGGAGTTGGGTCTTGAGGCGACTCAGTTCGATCTCGAACACGTCTTCTTTGCCCTTGAGTTGCATTTGAAACTGCGCCATTTCCCGCTGTCGATCCTCGTGCAAAGTCTGTCGGCGCTGGTTGGCCTGCTCGGCGTTCATTTTCAGCTGAATCTCCAGCAAATGAATCCTCTCTTCCTGTTGCTCCAACGCTTCCGTTCGCTCGATGACCTTGGCTTCGTAGTCGGCCGCCGTCGCCCGCGCCTGCGCCTGGCACGCAGCGAACATCGCGTTGGTCTCGTCCAGGATCGTTTGCAGGGCGGTGAGGGTCGCGGCGGCGTCCTCCGATGCCTCCCGCAGCACCTGGTTCCGCTCCGACAGCTCCAGCCCCCGCTCGTCCAGCGTAGCCCTAGTCCACGCCACAAGGTCCTCCATCGTCCGGGTATAATGCGCCTCGTCAACGCTGTGACGCAGACTCAATTTGGTAAAGTTGTCTTCGCTTATGGCAAACTCCCGGCGCGACGTCCCCAACGCTACGTCCAAGTCGTTGGCGCGGGCCGTTTGCAAGTCGAGGTCGGCTTTTAATTGGGATTTGGTGGCCACTAACTCTTCTTGCGTGGCCCGCATCGATGCAATCACGGCAATGTGCACGGCAATTGCGGCTTGATTCGTCTCCACTTGGCCCATGAGCTCAGCCGACATGCTCTCGTACGCCGCCTTGAGCGCCGCCACTTCGGCATCCCGGGCAGCGACTACTCCATCGCGCTTGGCCAGCCGTTCGAGAAGTGACGTTGTTTCCTTGTCCTGACGAACGGCAGTATCGTCCAGCCCGTGGATCTTGGTTTGCAATAGCTCGATCAGGGACCTACAAAGACATACCGGTATTGGTTATGTATCGTGGTAGTTAGTCGTAACTAGTAGAAATTGAACTTTTATTCAAAACGGATGGTGGAAATGCATAGATGATCCATGCTGGCTATTCACAAGTTTTGACATTTCAACACGTATAACTTGTCAAGTTATACGTGTTAATAAACCAACGCTAGGGGATCGGTAGTAAACCTCATCCACGTATGATGGCGTGGGGTTGTGAAGTAGAATTCACGGGGTACAATTTATCGACGTATCCTTTACCGATTCTTGAGGTGTTGGATTTCCGCGGCGCGACAGGTGGTTTCAAGCTTGGCGATGTATGCGCTTTGATCGCCCACGGTGCGCGCCAAGCTTTTGAGCTGCGCCGTCTGCAAGTCGATGGTGGTAAAGTCGGCTACATGGGCGACGGTGCTGGCTACGATCGATTCCTCTTGTCGGTGGATCATCTTGGCTTGGGCGTCGATGCGTTCCTTGTACATCTACAGCCCCCCCATGTCGCCACAGGTATGAGTGAGACGGTCAAGGTTCGTACAAGCGACATTGCACTTGGCGTGACGAGAAAGGCAGTTTCCAGTTGGGGTACCTTGGTCATGGCGCGTTGTTCGCTTTGCTCGACGTCATGGGCGGCTTTGGCGGCTTCCCACTTGGCTTGCTGTCGCTTGAACGACGCGATGGTCTTCTCGTGCGTTTTGATCGCCGCCGTGAGTTCATCCTGTTTGTCTTGACCCAACTTGACGTCTCGACGCAGCTGGTCCACGTTGAACACGTACCCGTGCATTTCCTCCTTGTACGCGTGCAATGTGCCCTTCTGGTCGACACATTTGGCCTCTAACGACCTGCATCATATCCATCCAAAACGTCAGTAGAGAGAATGGGATACTGTAGGTGCGCGACAACCACTCAAAGTGCAAACAACAACAGCGATAGCGTTTCGTTCAACAATCAATACACACACGTACGCTATCGCTGTCCGCGCTTGAGCGAGCGATGCTTCCGTGGCGAGAATGTGCTTGGACTGATTCGCCATCGTCACTTCGTGCTGGGCCACCACTTGGCGGCACCCCGCGAGCTCCGACTTGGTCACGTCCAACTCGTCCACATGTTTGGCCAATGCGTCCACGGTGCGTTGGTGCTGCATCTGACTTTGCCTCAAACTGTGCTCCGTCGACGCCAGCACTGCACACACAAACGTGCATAATCAAAATGCATGTATAGCATCAAGCATTCTAGGGTCGTACCATCGCGGGTAGTTTGCAGGTCGGTCACGTGCGCCGCGATCGTGCGGTCGCGGCTTTCGACTTCGTGGGTAAAGTACTGAATCGTCTGCGTGAGGGTGTCGGAGAGCTTGGCGCGTTCTCGCTCGTTCGTGTGCAACTCGGTCTCCTTGACCACCAACAGCGCTTCGAATTCAACCTTCTCGGCCCCCCACGCTTGCTTTTCTTGGACGCTACAGACAACAGAGTCGAGGTCATCCAATGAGTCATAGATAGTCCAGACGTGGACCAACCCCTACAACAAATCACGTGTGACGACTGCATATGTACCTGGCCCTGCGTTTCGCGACAATGTCCGATTCCATATTGGCGATCTCCGAGCTAGACCACCACGATCCCATAGAAACAAGATTGATATCGAAAATGGAGGTTGGGCAATACGACGGGCGGTGGTACATAGTCGTCAGTATACCTGGCTTGTCTAAAGAACATGCGCTCCTTGGTGTTGTTGGCGTAGATCGCTTCGACGTGGCCCTCGGCGGCCTGTCCGAGCTGCTTCATTTTTTCCACTTCGGCCTCCAACAACGTCATGTCAACTTCGAACGCCGGATTCAGCAGCGATGACGACGTGGGGTCGTACAACTGCGCGGTATTCAGCACAGCCGACGGCGGCTGATGCGACGGGGACTGCTGATCTTCCAGCTTGCGTGCGCGCAAGCTCTGACCTTTCGACTGCTTGGACGGTGTCGTGGGGGCCAGCAGAGCCACCGGCTTTGTTGGCGTCGTGAGACCCCCATCGAGGCCTAGAATCGGGGTCAATGCCAGCGGAGGCTGCGGGGTCTCGGACGACGATGGCGAGTCGAGTGGCAACCTCGGGGGGCGCCGGGGCGTGACCTCTCCGTCCGTGGACGTCGTCGACAGTTTCGGAAGGTTCACGGCGTTGACGGCTCGCTTCTCGTTCACTTTCTTCATCGTGATGGCACTTCTGGTGCTACTACTTGGACGCCGCCTCGGGCCTTGCCCATCGGTTGACGACTGTTTCACCGAGCAGTTACAAGTACCATTCCGCCAAACTTAGCGTGAAACTGCTCGTGTCGACGACGCTGCTGGGACGACTGGCCCTTGCAAGTCCCTGCGATCCAGTCTGTCGTGAGCGACAACGTGTGTGATGTATTCTTGCGCATCCATTGAAGTTCAAAAGTACTGGATTTGTCGATGCTTATCTGTGGCACCCACCACAGATGTAAGCTGTCGTTAAAGTAAACACTTCTGAGCATTACAGTAGGCATCCAATGACATACCGGTGGCCATGCGAGTTACTATGGCACAACGAGGACTCTAGTCACTCTGTCGTGATAGCAATAATGCTCCAGTTGCAACATTTCCATTACTAGGCTCGAGGGGGCTACAGTATGGGGGAATGTGGTAAACTGTGAGCGATGGACATGGCACAGTGCTACCAACCACTTATGCGACAACGTGATGACGAATCATGTCATGCATCCAATCTATCGCTTGGCATCCAAATCACACGACGACACAAGTAGCCAACACAAGTTTTGCAGGCAAAACCCGATTTGGAATTTGGGCATTGCATGCGTATTTCACGAAACGGCGACAGTTTCACGTTCAAACGTCAATCGACGGGCCACGCCTGTTGTTCTCTGGGTACATATGTATGTTTAATTTATCGACATTCAACCACGGAACGCAACGACACATGGCGTCAAAAAATGCAGCCCCTTCGAGCCCCCCGATCGCCCCAGCCAATGAATCGGGCGTGCTTCTCTTCAACGTCGTGCTGCCACTGTCTATCTTTGGGCTTGCGTCGCAATACACGTCTACCCTCAATGCCATGATTCTGTACACCGTGCCGCCCCTTGGCAAGTGTCTGTACGAACTCGTAGGCAATTGCCGCATCGACTACATTTCCATGGTCCAGCTGGGCATCACGGGGGTGGGCATTGCAGTAATGCTAGTCACCAACGACCCCCGCGTTGGGCTCCTCAAAGACATTTTGCCTCCTATGGTCATCGCAGTCGTGATCTTGCTGTCGGCGTTGCTGCAGAATTCGTTCAATTTGGTCTGGCTCGTGTACCGGTCGTGGTACGAAGCAACGAAAGGCGACGGCGTCGCGCGCCTCGACCGCGTGTGGCAGACCAACGCCCGAGTACGCAACCAGTTCAAGGGCCTCGCCCTCGTCGTCGGCAGTGTCATCTTTGCCGAAGACAGCCTCCGCCTCTATCTAGTGTTCCACGCCCCGCTTTCCACGATGCTCGTCCTGAACCCCGTCCTCGGCATCGGCACCGGCATGTCCTTGACGTTGTGGGTCGTCTACTCTGTCAAGCACACGCCTGAGCTGGCAGACAACGCCGCCGCTGCTGCAGAAACCACGCCGCTGCTTTCGTGATATTCTGCATCTCGACAGGAAGCAATGTGCTAATTTCATTCCCATCCCTAAGTTGACATGCAAGGGGTGGTGGGCCTGCCTACACCTAACAAGAAGACTTGTATCTTCTCGTGTTGGTGATCTTTCTTCGACGTCAGGATATTAATGTACTTCTATTTATACTGTATACTACTACTAGTGGACACTGACACATGAGTTTGAGCCATGCATCGACGGCAATATTTAGATCACGTTCGATTGAAAACTATCGTTAGATCTGTCGTAAGCTTGTAGAAGTGACCATTCAGCTGCACTTTGCCATTATTCCGTGAGTTCGTACGACCCACTCCACGTCCCACTCTCGTCCAAGTGTTGATTATCAACCATCATTCTACAGCACTAGTACAGTATGTAGTACTAACGTTATCATTGAATGCACTGTCGAAAATATACCATCGTTATCTATGCCATTTGACAAGAAGCAACAGTCGCGAATGCAAACTTCATAATATCACGAAGCCATCTACTGTCTGTATTCACTTTCACAGACGTGCCCCATCCGGTCTAGTATATCCTAGCATCTCCACGATCCAGTTGCAAGACAGATCAATGCTTCAACACTGCTTGAATGACACCGCGCTTGCCGTTGATGCGCCACTTTGGGTCTTCCTCGTTCAGGTTGGCTTCTACTTCTGGGGCGATTCCAACCACCGGATCCGACTTCATCGTGCGCAGCGTCACAAATGACGTCGGAAAGAAAGGCGCGGCGGCGCGCAGGGGCGTGGTGGCGGGCCAGAGGCGGTCGCCGAGGAAGCGGCGGTAGTTGGCGTCTCCCTTGGAGATGACGAGACCCGCCGTTGCCAACACCGCGCTCAAGTCTGCCGGGAGTTCGAAGTAGAACCGGTATTGGTTCCAAAACAGGTGCGACTGGGGAACCAATCGGTGGTCTAGGATTACACTAGAACGTCAAACTACCGCTGAAATACCCTTTGAAAACAAACGTACGGTCGACGTGCGCTTGGAGTCGGGCGGCCAGCGCGCGTACGTGCGGCGACCGAGACGGATGGCCCATGAGGTGAATGGTTTCCAACACATCGTGGGGCGTCGCGTCAGAAATGTACGTCGGCGCCGCCTTCGTATGCAGCACAATCGACGGGGTCCACTTCTACAGCCATGTCGAATGATGACGTCAACACATGAGAACGATACGATCACGTCATCGACCATTTTTGATCACGTCATCGACACGTACGTGGGTGAGCAAATGGTCGGCGAGCGCCAGATCCAACAGGATTTCCGTGCCGCAATTGTCGTTGATAAAGTGCACGGGCTTGGATTTGTGCGTCGCCAAATGTTGGATCACCTGGGTATGTCAACATCATGATGACGTTATCGCACGACGTCACGGACGTACCGCCGCGGAATCGTCGGCCAGCAGGTACGCGTCGTCAATGTCCAGCGTCGCATGGGTGCCTCGGATGGAGTCCTTGACCTGCTTGTACGCGCCGTCGGCCTTGTTGCCCCACAAACTGAGCTTGAGAAGCACGCCCAACGACTCGTCGGCAGTCGTGTCGTCGATGGTGTCGTGGAGGGCGGCCGCGGATTCGAGCAACCGCCACGGCGTCGGGTCATCGAGCTCGGCCATCTTCCTATGTGTCAAGAAACAATGATGAGGTGGGCTCGTATTGGTAACATGTGTTCGTACTGGCAATGGTAGGGATCGATCCCATGAACAGCATACCCCGTCACGTCGAGCACCAATCGGAATAGGTACGCTTCCGCGAAGAACCACGCTGCATTGTGCCAAGTACGCCCTTCCCCATGCAGCTTCCAGTCAGCATGCCACGTGGGGTCGCTCGATGGATCAGAAAGCGCGGGAATTGCACCATTCGCGCCCACATTCGCCGCAAGCGTTCGTAAGGCAGCGATCGCGTCGGCCGGAAGCGTCTTGTGCGGATGGGGTTTGGAGTTCTGGTCTGCCATGTCGTTGAGGAGATTAGGGAGACGAGTGGTCATGGCTTCATAAGCGAACGGAACGCTTCCATCCGTGAAGATCAGCGGCTGCGCATGCAGTTGAGTCAGGAAGGCGTCCATGGATATGTATCGAAGGAAGTTCAATGATGTCGTGTGAAGCCAGGCAAGTTATTCATCCGGATAAAATACCGGATAGTGATAGTAATCTCGTAGTATCATTGAGGAATCTGGAAAACAAATTGAGCAGTACTAGCTAGTACCACAGTAGTAATACTATTAATATCATTTTTAATTACTACAGTGCAGTATTAATACTACAAAACCACTAAATATCAAATTAGTATTAATAATACAAAACCAAGAAAGCCAAGTATCAAAACACAAGCACACGTTTTGTTCCATCGTTAATCTACAATGCCATCTAGATATACTATCGCTACGCTCAATTCATTGTGGGGCTACCGGGGTTTGAAGGGGTGGTGCCCTTCTATCATCACCGCATACGATCCCTAGTACTCTTCGCCATACTCCATGTCGTCTTCGCCATCGCCTTCTTGCGTTTCGGCGCTCACTTCTTCGTAATCCTTCTCCAACGCGGCCAAGTCTTCACGCGCTTCGGAAAACTCGCCTTCTTCCATGCCTTCGCCCACATACCAGTGCACGAACGCGCGCTTGGCGTACATCAAGTCGAACTTGTGGTCGATGCGCGAAAACACTTCGGCGATCGCGCTCGTGTTGGAGATCATGGCCACCGCGCGCTGGACACGGGCCAAGTCGCCGCCGGGCACGACCGTCGGCGGCTGGTAGTTGATCCCGCACTTGAACCCCGTGGGGCACCAGTCCACAAACTGGATCGTGCGCTTCGTCTTGATGGTCGCCACGGCCGCGTTCACGTCCTTGGGCACCACGTCGCCGCGGTACATGAGGCACGCCGCCATGTACTTACCGTGGCGCGGGTCGCACTTGGCCATCATGGACGCCGGCTCGAAGCAGCTGTTGGTGATCTCCGCCACCGACAACTGCTCGTGGTACGCCTTCTCGGCCGAGATCACCGGCGCGTACGACGACAGCATAAAGTGGATGCGCGGGTACGGCACCAAGTTGGTCTGGAACTCGGTCACGTCCACGTTGAGCGACCCGTCGAAGCGGAGCGACGTCGTCAATGACGAGATCACTTGCGCGATCAAACGGTTCAAGTTGGTGTAGCTAGGGCGGTCAATGTCCAAGGAGCGCTTGCAAATGTCATAGATGGCTTCGTTGTCCAACATGATCGCTACATCCGTGTGCTCCAAGAGTCCGTGGGTCGCTAGCACCGAGTTGTACGGTTCCACGACAGCAGTCGACACCTGGGGGGACGGGTAGATGGTGAACCCGAGCTTGGACTTGCGGCCGTAGTCGACAGACAAGCGCTCCAAGAGCAAACTGCCCAACCCGGAGCCGGTGCCGCCGCCCACGGCGTTGAAGATCATAAACCCTTGCAGACCCGTGCAGTTGTCGGCGAGCTTGCGGATGCGGTCCAACACGACATCGACGACTTCCTTGCCGATGGTGTAATGACCGCGAGCGTAGTTGTTTGCCGCGTCTTCCTTGCCGGAAATGATTTGTTCGGGGTGGTACAATTGACGGTACGTGCCGGTGCGGATTTCGTCGCACACGCTCGGTTCCAAATCCACAAACACCGCTCGGGGCACATACTTGCCCGCGCCGGTCT